GGTAGAGCATTTTCTCTCCTTTTTTTTTAACTTATTCCTTCCATGATTTCGAAGATCCTCGGTATTATGTCACCGACGATGACAAGAATGTCGTGGAAGGCAATAAAAAATTGATGAGAAAAGATGTATAAATTTTTTGATGGATTAATTTGATCTACGAAGAAAGAAATTGAAAGAGGACCGTGTGTTTCTTTAATCTTATAAAGTAGAGCCAATTTATACAAATGAGAAATCTATTTATTGCATTACGAATAATATTTAATAAGAGAAGAGCGCTAAGAAAGATAAATTATATGTATTATTAGTTAAAGAATAAAAGCAAATAATTATTATCATTTTGTTACATATTTATTACATACTTGATATGACCTTTTTTTCTCGCATTGTTGCTCCAATATAATTATTCGCGGATTATTATATATTATTCCCGGCGTTAAAGAAGTTAGCAATAGTTATTTGATCCCGCCAGTTTAATTATTAATGCTTGCGTGACAGGGTTGAATGACCGGCTGATTTCTTTGAAAATTGTAGAGAGGATAACAGTTTCGATCCATGGACCCACCATCTTGCTCGATCTCGATATCGCAGATTAAAGGAAAATAGGAACAAGGATAAAGACCGATGATCGAGGAACTTCACCGGCGAGGTTTACTTTTATCAGGAAGAACGACGGATTGAATTTCAATGTTATTACGGATAAGGAGAGCACTATCGCGCAGAGGAGAGAACGTAAGAAAACGAGATCTTAGGAGAACTTTACGGATTTCTTCGGAATTTTACAGAACCATGTTCGTGATGCGATTCGCAAAAAGTACGATATTATTTGATAGCGTCGCTATTCAAAACTACCATCGATATTTATTAAGTATCAGTTCGGTGCACTTTAATCTCCGTAACTATTCTCATTATTATTTTTACTGTGAATCTACGATTTAATTAATACGGATACAATTAATTACATTATAGAAATGAATATAAAAATATACTTTGAGAAGAGATTAATGTAATAATTAAACAGTAAAGATGTAGTGTCTGTATGTGATGTGCTTTTCTTGCACTCGTCTAATCACGTCATAAAGACGCAGAGTTCGCCGCAAAATCGTCCTTCGAGCAGTCCACACGGATTTACGGAGATGCGGTATTCTCGAGCAACTCGAGAGGTTACAATTAATGATCCTGTTAATTTAATTAATGTTTACCGTAAAAACCGCAGTTGGTTACGCTTAGAGTTAGACTTCATCTCGCAGTAAGAAGAAACGAGTAATCCTTGGGGCAAGGAATATGAGCGAGGTAATCTTGTCTGAAATAATTACATATGATGTACAGTTTTAGTTATATCTGCGAATATACTGTACATATAAAAAGTTTTTCAAAAGACGTGTACTTTTCTTTAATCATAGATAATAGAAATGAAATCAGAAGAAATGCTTTTTTTAATAATTACATACATATTGAAAAATTTGTTTAAAATAAAATTAAATGGTATTGCTTATTTTAATATCTTAAATAATTTCTGTTTTAACATTTTAACATTGCTAACAATTGTATTGGGTATTAAAAATTGAAACATAAAAGGAAATATCAATTTAATTTTTTTTTTTTTTTTTAGGAAGATTTATATTAAATTCGATAAATCGTGATTTTCGACAACATCATTTATACTATAAACAATAAATAATTATTTAATAATAAGCCATAATTATATCATGTAATGTAAATTACATGTATTATTCAGCTATCATAAAATATTACTCGCACATTTTACTTCTCATAATTTATTTAGAATATTATTTTATAATTTCTATACAAAATGATTTTATATTTTCATATTATATTTTTATCGGATTTAAATGCTTATTTTATATATTTACGTTAATATATGAATCAAAATATGAATTAAGGATCAAATAGTTATATTCATTATCAATGCTAAAAATGCAGAAATACACCAAAAATATTTTCCTCTTTATCAAAATCTGGAAGTAGCTATTTGTAAAGAAATAAATGTAACACGCTAATCTAATTTCTATCAATTTACATTAGTTTGTCAGAATATTGCTATTTTAGCTTTTCACAAAACTGGATCGATTGAGTTGACCCATATACGTTTCTTTTTCGTTCACTTCAAGAATCGCGAAGTGAAGAGAACAAAGTGACAGTACAGCGAGCTAATTCATTTCCACGAAGGAAATTATGTGGCGTTGCATGCGATTGCAGTTGCAGCGCGCTCGCCGATTACTTCCGGGAACGTAGTCCGGCGTTTTCCCACGATACTTTCAATCCAGTAATTTTAGCGCCGGCGACGCTCGTGTCGTCTCTTTGCGCGATTAATGAGCTAATTTGCACACGCTGCTTTAACGGCAATTAATTTATTGACATTTCGCAAAGACGAGTACATCCATGAATACACAATTGCTTTCGAGAATCAAAGATTTGATACGCGGTTAAATTTATTTTTTAATTATTTGGAATTAAAAAAGTCAATCTTTTATATGCGCACTTTATTTCATTTATCGATTGTTACACATTATTAGTATTTAAAAATGTATAATAAAGTGCTAATAATCTATTCCATTTGAAATTTCAGATAAATTAAGGAGTAGACAATTTCGCAGATATCGGCATTAAAAGAAGATAAAAAACATAAGAAATATGAGGTCATTGCGCGTCGCGAAAAGTTCGCTCGTAAACCTTTAGCTAATAGTCGGAGACACTCCATAATTAAAAGTGCGTATATGTGTGCAGTTGATAACTTTACGACAAAATTGATTGTTGTTCACCAAAATCAGATATATTGCTTATATTATCGCGTACTCTCCACAGTATTTGTCGCAAGTTTTAAAACGACACATCTCTCTCCACTCTACATTGTACTATTCTGAAAATTCAAATCTCACGAAATCAAGTTTACTTATACAAAAAAAATGTATATACATACATATATCTACATATAT